CAGCTCCTTGAGGGAGACAGCCAGGCAGTGGCCAAGACTGGGTGCCAGGAGCTTTGGAACTGCCAAAATGCCTCCTATTTTATGGACATGCCTGGCTCAACCTGAAGACATTTCAAGTGTTCAATCAGCAGCCCATGTGTTATACTGGGTTGCGGAGGGAGGCCTCAGAAGCCACCCCTTTTGAGAGCTAAAACAGCCATTGGAAGGAGCTGGCCTTCTTCACGGACCAGGCTGATGCTCAGCAGATGGAAAAAGCACTTCCCAATAATAGTAATCAATAGTCAAAGGCTGGCAGCTGCTGGAGGCTCACCTGAAGAGCCCCTGGGGGCTGAGCTCCGCCCTTTTCCCATACCAGACGGAGTCTGGCCAGGAATCCATCTCACCCACCTCCCTGCACCAAGCCCCACGAGAGCAAATAGGCGAGGGAGGAACCATTTTTCACATACTTTCTCTTTCAAAATGTAATCCTGTTTCACAACTTCCTACTTAAGATCTGGAAGACTCTAGAGTGCAACACAAGCCACCTTCTCCAGCCATGGCAGGAGTCTCTCATCACTGTGGCCACCAACCCGCTAGGAGTGCCCAAGAAAGGCAGGGGCTCAGGTTTACTAGTTTTCCCAGCATCACCAGCACTGCTAGCTCATCTAAAGGTCTGTGTAGTGCAGGTCACTAACGCAGCACTGAAGTAACCTCCAGCCAAGGCTTGTTTATTCTTTACCCTGAGTTAGCTCTTTCCCTTGGAAGCGCCAGCAGGGACACCACAGCAAAGCAGGTGCACCCAGCTCTGGTATGCTAGGTCTCAGCATCCCCTTAGGCATCTGTTCTTCAGATCTTCTTCACCCCTCTATGACTGGGCTTTTGTTCTTGCTGCTCCGCCCTTTTCAATACACCCATTTAGCGCTGCAAAATGCAACCTGTTCTCCTGCCTGTTTTTTCCCTTCCTAACAACCATTCACTAAGGTGTTCACCTTAAATCTTCTCAGGGCCTAGGCTGGGGGGGTCAGAAGCAAAAAACCATCACCTGGGGATACTGGCTGTATGTCAGGGACTTACACCAGGGCCCAAGAAGCTGACCCTTTCCCTAAATGCCCTCACAATCGTTCTAAACCAAACAAACCAGAGGCAGAAAAAAAATACCCAGTTAAAAAACAAATCCAGAAAACACAACCTCATCGCCCAAAATAGTGAAATGGAAAACAAACCCATACTCTGGAGACTTGGTCCAAAACATACCAGAGTTGGAACTGGGTGAGGTGGCCAGAAATGTGTTAGTCTGGGCAAGTCTGTGACCCTGTAAAGGAAAAAGCTAACATTTTACAGACAACCATATAATCCCATGTTGCTGGTGTCTAAACCTAGACGTAGGGTTAGACAATGCTACATCCTGACATAGATAGACTTCCTCTCTCCAGCACTCATCCCCAAAAAGCACAAAGTTTGATTTCTGGACCAACTCTGGCTGCTTCCTGCCCTTCCAGTCTCTGCCTCGGGTGGGATGCTTTGAGAGCAGAGAGCAGGTAAATGTCCCACATTTTGAAGCCCACACCCCCTCTAGCTCAAAGAACAACAGAGTGAGACAGACAGTGTAGGTGCAGGGGCTCATCCATCATACGCAGGGATGCACTGGGAGCACCCGGAAGCAGAATTTCCTCTGGCCAGCATTTCCCAGATGTAGAAGCTGAGGTGCAGAGTGTGCTTCAGTGGGCTCACGCCTCCTCTGAGCTGCCTGGAGTTCCAGAAGCAGCTTATGGGGTTTAATGAGGTGAAACAAAGAAGATAAGTGCCTCAGAGCATCACCAAAGTGACTCGGGAGATCAGGAGGCTCCAGCTCATTCCTAGAGGCTGCTGAGCTTCTGAACACTTGTTTGGATGTTGTTTTAGAAGAAAGCTTTTGACAATGCTTCTCAGTGTTGACTAAATACACGAGTTACCTAGGGGTCTTATTACAAGGCAGATTCAAATTCTTTCTCTGGGTGGGGCCAGGGAGCCTGCGGTTTTAGCAAGCTCCCAGGTGAAGCCAAGGTTGTTGGTCTGTGGCCAGAGTTGAATTCACCTGAGGAGCTGGGCGACTGGAACAAATCAGAAGCAGAAACATTCAAGACACAGATGGAGGAGTGGGACTAGAATAGGAAGAAAGACAGAAACAATGATAGGAGTAACATCAAGACTGTCATGGGAACAGAGAGAGGTAGAACAACAAAAAGGGGCCAAGACGAAGACAGAAACAGAGAGAGGCAAAGAAAGAAAGTGAAAAACAGAGTGGGAAGAGTGATTGGGACAAAGTGACTGGCAAACACAGGCAAAGTCAGGGAGAGGAGGAAAGGTAAGAGGAGGCCACCCAGGCTCCAGCACAGGCTCTAAATTCAGACTAGCAGTGAAGGGAATCACACGTGTGGATAAACCGACCCCTGCAGAGTAGCAGGTGCACAGACCTAAGATCCCCACCTTCCCCACCTGCTGGTCTTCTCAGACCTGCCTCACTTTTGTCCCTCTAGATTATCTCCCCTCCTCCAAACTCAGTCTACTTCTCTCCTTTACATTTTTTTTCTTCTCTCCTTTACATTTTTCCCAAAAGCTTTTCGACATTTTCAAGTCTTTCCTATCTACAAAACAAAACAACCCCCCACAAAACAACTCACTCACCCCGTCACTTTCTAGTCCCTGTGGAATTTCTCTTCCCTTTTCTTAGATAAAGTCTCGTCCTTTTGATCCCCACCTCTTTCTTGCTAGTACCGTCTGGGACTCGCTCTTCTCCAGGTTCTCCTTCTGCCTGTCTTGGCTCCGACTTCTTTGCCAACAGATCCTCTGGGATCTGGTCCTCCTATCTGAAGGGCCACAGAGCTAGGTCCTTGCTTCATCCAGAGCCCTCTTGCCAGCAATACTCTTCCAACCCCACGGCCTCGGGGATCTTCTCTACACCAGTGTGTATTCCTGCCTGAATCCCTGCTGCCCTCTAGACCTGTGTTTAGGACTAGGCAGTGTCTGCTGACCATTTTTACCTGGAAGTCTCAGAGGTACTGCAAACTCAACATGATGAAAGCCAAATTTATGTTCTTCCTTTTCCCAAACTGATCTTCCTTATGGGCTTCCGCTTTCTGCATCCATTATCCATCCAGGTGTTTCAGACAGAAACGAGGGTTTTGTCTTTGACAACTATCTCTCCCTTCCTTCCCTCATCCATGTCCAGCTCACACCAGTCTTTCAGCTTTATTCTCCACGTACATTTGTGTCCACTTATCTCCATTTCCATGACTACCCTAGTCCAACCCTTCAATGCCTTTCAATACCTGGATACCAGCAATACCCTCCTAAGCAGCCTGTCTCCAATTTGTCTTCCATGCTGCACACAACATGGTCTTTGCAAAGGACAACTCTGATCAGGTTGGTCTCGTGCTTATAACCCTTCAGCAGCCTGCATGGGTCTGAGAATAAAAGTTGCAGAGGGCCTTTCTGGAATCACCTCACTTCTCTCACTCCACTACTTCCAGCTATATTGGCTTTCTTTCAGTCTCTTACCACAAAAGTACTTTCTGCCACAGGACATTTGCATGCATTGTGTCTTCTAAACAAAACCATGCTGTCTAATGCAGTGGTCACTAGCCACAAGTGCCTTTTGAGCACTTGAACTATGACTAATATACAACTGAAGAAGTGAATTTTTAATGCTATTTTAAATTTTAAATTTAAAAATATTCAATTCAGTTATTGGAAAACTGAAGTATTCTTAAAGTAACTTGAATATGCAATTCTCTATTTTAACCTTAATTTTTATGAAGTCTAGACATAGATCTAGTATTTCTAGTGAAAATTTTAGCATTCAAATGAAGTTATGCTATAAATGTAAATATACGAGGGAAATGTTAAGATGAAGTTAAATTGGGCATGGTAGCACACCCCTATCTATAGTCCTAGGACTTGAGAGGCTGAGGCAGGGAGATCACAAGTTCAAGGCCAGCATGAGCTACATAATGAGTCTGAGGCTAGCCTGAACTACATACCAAGATTCTGTCTCAAAAAAAAAAAATTTTGGTTTTAAAAAATGTAAAAGATCTCTAAATTTTTTTTTATGTTGATTACATGTTAAAAAGATAATATTTTGCAGATATTTGGTTAAATTATGGCTACCAGAAGATTTTAAATTACATATATGGCTTACATATTTCTGCTGGGCATACCAGTCTAGAATGCCATTCCTCCAGTCTGCATCTTAAATCATCTACTCATCCTTCAGAGCTTGGCTCAGATATCTCCTCCTCCTGAGAAAGCCTCACTGAGATAAAGTTTTTGGTCTGTATTTCATTGTATTCACATTCATAGTGACGCGCATGTGCCAGGGTACGCCTGCCCTGACTTGGTCCGTCCGCATTCACGCACTTATTTGTATGATTACTTAATGCAGGCCTGTCTCTCCCACAGACCTGTAAGGTCTCTGAGAGCAAGCTGGGTCTATCTGGAAACCAACCAGCCCCTGACATGTGGACTGGTGCCAATGGACACCATCATGCCACAGATAATGCTCCACTGTCTTGCCTTTCGGCAGGACCATCCCTAACCATTGCAGAGAGCCCATGCCCCTCTTCCCCTACACAGACCTTCAGTGTGTAGACTCTGCCCCTCCCAGGTGGAAAGTGCTCTTTCAAGCTGACCCAGGGCCTTTTGGTCCTCTTAGGAGGAAACATAGCAGTGCTTCTTGATCTCAGATGCGCATGCCAAGCGTGAGGAACCCTGTTAAAATGCAGACTCTGGCTCCTCCAGTCTGGGATGGGACCTGAGATTCTCATTCCTAGTAAGTGCTTAGTGACAATGTTGTATTGGTCCACAGACCACATTCAGAGTAGCGAGAATGGAGAGGACCTAGTTACTGCTCTCAGAATCTTCCTAAAATTTTCCTCCTACTCTGGACCCTCTGTGGCAGAGGCTGTTGGAGGGTCTCAGTCCTGCCCACTACCCCTACCCTCACATCTTGAAACAGAATGTGGTACCTATGGCTACTGTTGTCATTTTTTTCTTTTTAATTTGAAATAAACCTTTAAGCAGTTCTTTGAGTCAGGTCAGCCCTGATATGTATCACAGTTGTGTAGGGATACTCTCCAAGATAAAGTCACACAGCTGGCATGGGGGATGAACTCTTCTCCCTCAGCAGTCCTCAAGCTTTGGCTGGTCCACCACACCTGGCATTGCAATCCCAGCAGCTTCTCCAGAAGGTTCCATGCTACAAAGTTTGCATCTGGATGCTGGGAAATGGTTTGACACATCTACTGTGTGCATCATACACAAAGTGGGTACTGCTGGGCCATAGGATGGAAGTGTCTTCTGGTGGCCTCAGTTTTGTGTGTGTGTGTGTGTGTGTGTGTGTGTGTGTGTGTGTCTGGTTGCACATTTGGACAGGCTGTGAGAGCATGGATGGATGGAGTGTATGTGTACGCATTGCCCCCGATGCTCCAGTTCTGGGAAGCTTTCCTCACGCAAAGCAGCACAGGGCTCTTCTGCATGTGCCTGGAGGCTGGCCCCTGTGTTAGGTGGGCCCAGCAGATGTGAGTGGCTCCACTGTCCCTGGCTGTGGCTGCTGCGGCAGCTGCTGCTGCCCCTTGCGTCTCCGAGAGCTCCGGCCAGTCTCCTTGTTCTCCTTCCTGCCCGGGTTCCTGTTGGGGTTCTCCCTCCGGCCCTGGCCTCCCTTTCTCCTCTTCTTCCCTGCAACGACCCAGACAATGGGAAGAATCAGCAAGGGTGTACAGAGACCCTGGGAAGGACAACGGAGCAGAGCAGCGAGGAAGTGTGGCAGGGAGGCAGGGAGGAGACCTGGAGACTCCGGTCACCTCAAGGCCTTCTCTGACCAGCAGCCACTAGAAGACGAGACAACATGAGTACTGAGAGTCTCTAGAGTCTCCTCTCCCCCTACCCGCCAACGCACACCAAACACCCTCCCCTTCCTCATGTCCTTCTCACACATAGGGTCCCACCTACAGCACCTCCCAGGTGCTCAGTGCAGCTCAGAATAGGCAGGACAGTCCGACCCCCTACCTCTCACCTGCAACCTCTGGGGCCAGGCAAGGAGCACCAGCAACCTCACTGCCACTGCAGGCTGTGTGATCTAATTTCAATCATTGCACATCTCTGGGGCTTAGCCCATCCCCCATCTGACCCCCAAGGGTCCTTCTAGCGTGAACATCCCTAAGAAATGGGAACACTGCAGGGCTGGAGACCATAGCAGCTTCTAGCTCTTGCCACACAGTTCTGGGGCACTGCTGTCTGCTAGGACATGTCCTCCAGCTTGGACAACACAAGGCCTTGAGTCGAGGATTCTCCATCTGGCCTTGCTGTGAGTACCAGCCAGGTTCCAGAGGTGACTGGACCCAAGCGGGGAGAGGCTGCTGCTCACCATCAGGACATGGAATCCTCTGCACCGTGCACCTCCGGGTCTCCTTGGTGTCAGAGCAGATGCTGTGGTCCCCCCCAGGAGCATGGAGAACTCTGCGTGTCCGCTCTTCAGAGCCCTTCCGGAAACCACAGAGCTTCTTCTTCTTGGAGCAGGGCCCCCACGGTGACCACTCACTCATTTCACATTGTGCTGGCATGAGGAGAGGGAAGAGGAGAGAAGGAAGAGAAGGAGGGGCTCTCCTCCCCAACGCAGAACACCTCAGGGGAGCCTCACACACCTGCCCTCTGCTGGGCCTCGTGCCAAGCATCTTTAGTCTGGAGAGTGGAAAGGGCCACACAGGAACCCCAGAAGATGGGGTGGGGTAAGCTTTCTGGGTACACTGTCCCAGCCCACAAGGTCTCTGGCCAATTCCCCATCCTGCCCCTCAGCCTGGGGTGCCGGTCTCTGCCTGCAGCATCCAATGCAGCTTACCAGGACTGCTGCACTCCATGGTGCCATTGGTGGGGGTGGAGCCCTCAGGACAGGCTGGGTAGCAGCGACCCTTGTGTAAATACCGGCCCTCCTGACACTTGGTGCAGAAGTTGTGGCTGAAGCAGGCCTCGCAGTGCTCTATCTTGCATTCTGTGGACAGGACCAAATTGGGGGCCTCTGGCCCAGCCTGGAACGGACACTTCCCTCAAGCCCAGTCCCAACACCCACTGATCCACGCCCATCCACACATAGGCCAGGACTCTGCCCTACATTTTTGATCACAGTTTGGGAGGAGGAGAAAGGCAGAGGCAAAGGCAGCACAGGAGTGAGGAGGCTGAAGGGGCTGCCCCCACGGGCTGGCTGGAGCTCTGGCCATCCTCAGCCAACCTGAACCTTAACCCAGCATCAAGACTTGGGACCCAAGATGAGGCCTAAGAGAACTGGTTTCAGGAGAACTAGAAGAAGGGGGCCCTCTGGCTTTGGTGGGGTGGGAGAGGAGTGCTTCAGCATCTCAGGGCATCCCATCTCATACCATCCCCAACCAGAGTGGAAAAGAGGGACAGAGCAACGCCTACAGAGTGGCTGGGTGGGCCCCCCTTTCCTCATTGCTGGGCATCCACAGCATCCCAGCTCTGGCTCTCCTCTGCCTGAGGTGGAAGGAATCTGCTTGGAGGAGCAGGGAGCAATCCCAGGGCAAATTCCTCTTCTTGTGCAAGCCCAAGTTCCAGGACCCACCTTGGTTGGACTTGTGGGTCCCTCCCTGCTTCCCTCCTGCCAGTTCCCTCCTCTGGGGGAGGGTGGGTTGTATAGGGCGTGGCTGAGGCCAGGCAGGTCTTTCACAATCTCTCCCTTCCCGGACTGTGGGCGAGGCTGACTTCATCCCAGTCTCTGCCACCTGAAGCCCAGGCTGCCAGTTTCCCAGCAGCTGGCACAGCCAGGAACCCCCTGCCTCTCAACACCTTGAAGACCAAGGGGACAGCCTGGTCCTCCCTCCATCCTGGCAAGCTCCTCGCTTCACTCCCCTCTGTACCTCCTAACCTCTACGGCTATCCCAGCCTCAGCTCCCTCCTTCCATCCTTTCTTTCCTCCCCTGTGCTCTGACTCCTGGGTTTGGTTGCTAGTAAAATAAGAACTGAGATAGCAACAGCAGGTACACTGCACTGAGTGCCAGATACCAAGAGCTTTGTAGGTGCATCTCACAACAACCCCAGGGGTAAAAACGTACTCTCATTTTAAAGACGTGGTGCTAAGAGGCTGAGATATGCTCAGGGGCACACAATGAATAAGCAGCAGCATTGAGATCAGAACACAGGTGACTAAGCTGGAGGCCAGCACCCCCTCTCCTGCCCCTAAGTGATCAGCCATAAAGGGTAGTGTCCCTTTGGCCCTGTCTCCCTCCAAAGGTTGTTGTAGGACTCAACTGACATGCAGTCTGGAAATATGTTGTAAACATCAAGATCCTGATGGTAGAGGACACTGGCACTGTTCACTCGGGTGTGTTCACTGTGTGTCCCCCAGTAAATGACAGATGCGGTTACAGAGATGGAATGGAGATAGGACAGCCTGTGCCTTGGAGCATGTGGCATTGTAGCTGGTGTGGCAAAGTAGAACAAGACGACCAGGGGGGAGAAGGAGTAAAGGAGCTGGCAGGCCAAACTTGGATTTCCCTGCAGCCAGTGTGGGGCCAACAGTGGTTTTCCAGCAGAAGTGGGTTGGGATAGGCTGCATTCTCAGAAGTATCCTTCTGGCTGCAGTGTGGAGGGCAGGCTGGAGGCAATGCCATGCAGGCTGGAGGACAATGGGGAAGCTAGTGTAATGGTTTGGGGGAGAGGTGCTGGTGAGACCATGGCACAAAGATGGAAAGAAGATGTATACTGACTGGTTGGGTGGAAGTAGCACATGTGAGAGGTTTGGTGTCAGGTCTGTGGCTTGGGTGACAAGTTGGGACACTGAGAGTGTTGAGGGAGGAGATGGGTTCTGGTTTGGACACAGGTTGGGGAGCATGAGTGGGATATCCGGGGAGATGTCACGCTGGCAGTTCAAGACACAAATCAAGAGCCTCATCTGCTCTCATCAGTGTCCCCTCTGTGACCCTCACGGGCCACCAACAGTTCAAAGCACCCTCTCCCAGGGTGCGGTCTCCAGTGCCCCTCTTCAGCTGCCCACACTCACTGATGCACTTGTTCATGTCGGGGTTTCGGGCGTCAAAGTATCCAGGCGGGCAGGATGGCAAGCAGACGCCCACCTGGCGGATGTCGTTCCGCTCCAGCAGGATGAACAGCTTGGGTGAACACTTGAGGCAGCCGTTGACCTCGGAGCAGAGCTCACAGCCCTTGGCACAGGCTTGGCTCCCCTCAGCACTGACTGCAAAGACGGAGCAAGGGTGAGAAGGCAGCTATAGTAGAGACCTCATCTTTCCCAGCTCTCACAAGGATAGAACGAGGAGTTTCATTCTGCCCAAGAATGTGCTTCTCAGAAAGCATGGGCCTGGCTCGCAGCTCTCTGCAAGGCCACTTTCTGCACATCGCAGCATTCTTTCTACCCCAGGGAACCGGGGTTGGTGGGAACCGGACTCCTACCCATCCCACCTGCCTCCCTAGCTCCAGCACAAGCACCTCCTCTAGGTTGGCTCCTCCATCCTTCATCCTTCCTGGAACTTACTTGATTCTCCCCAGAGAAAGGAAAATTCAGCCTCAGGTATGGAAGGAGGGTTTATTTATTTATTTTGATGTCTGATAAAGTTAGGTTTTTTTGTTTGCTTGCTCTTTTGAGACAGGGTCTTACTGCAGTCCAGGCTAGCCTTGAACTCACTATGTAGTCCAGGGTAACCTCAAACTCACACTGATCCTCCTACCTCAGCCTCCCATGTGCTGAGATTACAGGTGCGCACCACCACCATGCCTGGCTGATGTCTGATAAAGTTTTAAGGACAAGAGAATGGATTAAACTACCTAAGAATCGCCTACCCAGAGACAGGAAAAGAACTCAAATAACCTATGTCTAGAATAGTGGTCTCAACCAGGGATGATCTGTTCCCCAGGGGACATTTGGCAATGTTTAGAGACCTCTTTTTTTTGTACTGGAAACTGAACTCAGGGCTTTCACATTGAGATGCATCCCAACCCTTTTTACATTTTTTATTTTATGACAGGGTCTCACTAAGTGGCTAAGTTGCCCAAGCTGGGCTGGAACTTGCCATCTTCCTGCCTCAGCCTCCTAGAATTCTAGGATTACAGGTGTGTGTACCTGGCACCTAAAGACATTTTTTTTTTATCATCACCAGGGAGGTGAACTGCTCACAGCATCAAAGAGGAAGAGACGAGGGCTGCTTCTAAACATTTGCTAATGCACACGTCCGTCCCTACAACAAAGAACCATTATGGTCCACAATGTCAATGGTTTTGTGGTTGACAAACTCTGGCTTAAAACTACCCTCAGAGGCAGGGAGCTCTCCCATCAGAGCACTGAATCTCTGATCCTGTTCCGTCATTCACCTGCTCAACCAACACTTACGGAGCCCCTGCCATGTACCATTCGCACAGTGAGTCTTGGGGATAGTGAGGCAAACAAGCTCAGCCACTCTGCAGAGGAACTGACCTTTCAGTGAAAAAAAGCAAAGAGGCAAATGGCAACAGCCACAAAGCCAAGCCACAGTGGACTCAAAACAAGGGATACAGGTGCTGTGTAAGGAATAAGAGGTACAAGTGCTGGACATAGCAGGACTAGGAGAGTGAACAAAACTACACCTAGGAGAAACGCAGATAATCCGAGATAGAGGTAAAAATGGGTAGAAGAATGGTGAAAAAGAAAGTGTTCTATTTTTATATCATGCTGAGGAACATGAACTTGAACTTTAACCTGCCGAGCAGCATTTCTCCAAGAGTGTTCCTTGAAAGAAGATTTCTCCCGACCGTTAATAGGAGGACGTGGAGAAAAACCTAGCGTCATCAGGTAGGGCTGTGTATACCAGAACCTGTGTATCATGCAAAGCTAAATAGGCTTCTTTGTTGTAGGGCTTTTTGCAATCTTTATTACAGTCCTGTGCAGTGTGACTATCTAAAAGAGGAGACAGTAAGCTGTGTTTTCCAAACATTTCAGCAATATTTGTTTTGCAGTTTAATTCTTGGAACCTTTTTGGAGCAACTTAGCCAACAGGGAGCCACTGGAAAATTAAGCAGGCGTAAGATCTGGTCCAATTTACATATTAGAGAGAACCCTCTGATAGCCAGGTGGAGACCAGAAACCAAAGGATTATTTGGAAGGAAGATGACTAGGTCACCCAGGTGAAAAAGGTGAAGAAATCACATACAAAATTATGTTTAGTGGAAACAGAGAGAAAAGGACTGATTTGGAAGGTGTTTAGGGCTATCATGACCTCACGGTAGCCCATTCTGTGTCTTCCAGACCAGGGTGTACTTCTATTTTTGCTTTTCTCTTTTCCTCTCGTTTGGCCTAAGTTTGCTCTGCAGAGCCAGTTTCTCCTTCACCCCCCACTTTTCAAATAAACCTTGTTACCATTAAAAAAAAATGTTCAGGGAATACTTATGGCTAACAAGCAGAGGAGACTTGGGAGGAGTCTGGGGTGATTCCCAGATGTCTGGCCTAGGGTGTAAATGAAATGTGGGGCCAGACACTAAAACGTGCCCACAGGAAGAGAATCCAATTGAGAAGGAAGATTGAGTAGTTAGGAGGACCCAGGCAAGGAGAAGCCATAGACACAAGCTAGAGACAGAGTAGGGAAAATCAGAGCAAGAGGGCAGGAGATGGCTGAGGAGAGTGTGCCTGGCGCTCAAGCTGCACATCCCTGGAGCCAAAGTCTCAGTGTGCGAGGCCAGGGAAAACAGTGAATCATGTGCCTCCCTTTCCACCCTGGAAACAGGGAGCCAAGGATGTATACTCGGGAGGGCTGCTGGCAGTCTTATACGCTCCAGGGGTGATTCCTGGTTCAGGCAGGAAAAGGGAGGAGAAGAATCACAAACACAGCCACGGTCATAATAACACAATAATAGGCATACTAAGGGTAACTATTACTTAATGCTGAACACCAATTCCATTCTCAGGATTTGATAAGCATTAACTCATTTAATCCTTCCAAGAGCCTACAAGGTAGATACTATTATTTTTATTTTTATTTATTTGTTTATTTTTTGTTTTTTTTTTTCCGGTACCGGGAATCAAACTCACGACCTTGCGCTTGCCAGGCAGGTGCTGTGCTGCTGAGGTAAATCCCCAGTCCCTGGTACTATTATTTTTAATAATCCTCATTTTTGCAGATGACTAAATGAAGAGGTTAAATTACTCAACCAAAAATAAATAAATAAATAAATAAATAAATAAAGTAAAAATAAATCACTCAACCAAGTTTTCTTAGCTAGTGTGTTCCCAGGTAGAGAGGAACACAGTGCATAAAAGGCAGATGTAGGAAAACGCAGGGGCTACGGAAATTGAAAGCATGACTAGATTAATTGTATTAAACATGAAATTTCTTTGTAGAATCAGATTATTATTTGGTTAATACACTTAAAATTGAGTATCGTTCTTGTTGAGGTAGTCACTGCATTAGGAAAAATACTCCAAGTGCTATACTGCAATTATGAAGGAGTCTTTAGCATTAGTTTTCCACTTTGGGCCTTTTGGGTTTTTTTTTTTTTTTTTTGGTTTTTCTCCGGTACCGGGAACCGAACTCACGACCTTGCGCTTGCCAGGCAGGCGCTTTTGCCGCTGAGCTAAATCCCCAGCCCCCACTTTGGGCCTTTTATTCAGCTGTATTGCAAATGTATAAGTCCACTTGAATGTATGAAACTGTCTATTACTGACTGTTTTTACTTAATTCATCATTTAAATGAACATTCCCTCTGGGTTTCTGCCTTAGTTTCTTCAGTAACTGAGGTGACCCACTGGTGACTGGTGACCCGGGTGTCCCATTGGCGGCCTTCTATGGCTTTGTTGCCTTATTTATTCCTTACTTATCACTATACTTACTACTATAAGTGATGAGAAGGTTTGTAAAAGGCCTTCTCAGAATCCTATCACCTACCACCCATTCCAAAAACAGCATTCTCCTTGCACATTTTTCTCGAGTGCTACCAGTGACATGGCAGGGAGAGTGTGGCACATTCAGGGTTAAAATTAGTTCAGCACAGCAGTGTAGTTGATATTCAGATGAGAAGCTGGATAGAGAAGCAGGGGCCAGACCAGGAAGGGTTTTGGACCTATAGAGAAGTGTTCGGATATTATCTGAAAGACAACAAGGAATCATTGGAGGGGGCTTGGACATGAGACGTGGCCAGGCATTTCAGCAAAGTCACTCTGTAGAGTGGAGGGTGAGTGGAAGAAACAGCAAAAGTGGAGGCAGGAAGATGCCTAGGTTTGAACTCCAGGGGAGAAGAGCTAAGGCTGAACCATGAGGAGGGAACGGCGTAGCTATCTATGCTGTAGAATCCACAAGGCTGAGAGATGAGTAGATGTGAGGGGAGGGACAAGGAGAAGCACATGTCAAGTTCCCTTAAAGATACTAGACTTGTGTCACAGAATGGTTGTCAGCCTTTTGCTGAGAAGGGGACCCCAGCAGCAGCAGCAGAGCAGGGAGTGGCAGGGATGGAGCAATGAAAGCTTAGGCTTTAGACATGGTGGCTGCGTGGCTCCTGTGGGACACTCGGGGGAGGTTTATCAGGCAGTTGACACACAGGCCTGGAACTCAAGAGAAACGTTTTGGCTGGAGACTGAGATGCAGGGTCCTTAACATGAAAATAATCCTCAAAGGCATGTGGCTCCGTGAGATGGCAAGGAGTCTAGGAAAAGGGACCAGACCTTTTACAGAAGGACAGAAAAAGATGGGGCAATGAAGAGAAGGAGCTGACAGACATGGAGGGAACACTAAAAACCTCATTGCAGCCAGGGGTGGTGGTGCATGGCAGCAATCCCAGCACTCTGGAGGCTGAGGCAGGAATACTGCTGTAAATTCCAGGCTAGCCTGGGTGTCCATAGTGAGTTCAATGCCAGCCTGGAATACATAGTAAGACCCTATCTCAAAAGAAAGAAAGAAAGAAAGAAAGAAAGAAAGAAAGAAAGAAAGAAAGAAAGAAAGAAAGGAAGAGAAAAGTGAAAAGTTCAGGCTCAGATGGCTTCACTGGTAAATTCTATGAATTATTTAGAGAAAAATTAATACCAATCCTTTATAAACAGTTCTAAAAAATAGAAGAGGAGGGACTACTTCCCACTTCATTTCATGAGGAAAATATAGTCCTAATACCAAAATAAGAAAAATAAAGTACAGTACATAGTTACAGATCTTAACCCTTACGAATATAGATGCACCAGTCCTCAGAAAGTACTAGCAAAGTGAATCCAGCAGAATATAAAAA